GAGAGAAGGCTGTGGCTAGCCCAGCATTATGACACAGTGGAATGGTTGAATTTCCCTTTTTTCAAGTGAGGCAGTTGAGTAGCTAGAAGGCAGAGATTAGCAAAGTGGAAGCAAAGAAAATCTAATCCAGACTGCCAGGGCACTGAGACTCAGAACTTTAGCTACGAAGAGGTATTAAACAATGTGGATGGTGTTAACAAAACAAACTGCTGGCCTTGCTACTGATTGTTTAGGTGAGAGAAGAAAAAAATAGTCTAAATTTTTTGCTCAAGGATGAGCAAGATGGTGATGGGCAGTAGGCAGAACTCATGGGTTGATTTTGTAGGAGCTAAAGAACCTCCACTTAGATCATTGTGGAGTGTGTTGAGCCAGGTCTTACTGAGAATCTGGTCCATCTCTTTGAACCGTGTGACCTTAGGTTACTTTACTATATTACCTTCAATTTTATTATCTGTAAAACAGTACCTTCCTCACAGGTTTGTGATAAGGCTTAAAAAAATAATACAGATGGGACAAGCAGGTGGTGTGGTGGTTAAGGCACTGGACTCCCACATGGCTGACCACAGTTCGAGTCCCAGACTTGGTGGAAAAATCACACTGGGCATGTGTGTATACACGCCCCAAAATCCTGGGAGGAGAATGGAGGAGAAGGGATTGTGTTGTGGCCATTCCCCCAGGGGCGATTTCTCACTTTCACTCTCACTGTCAGTCTTTTTCTCTCCCTGGTGACTGCATGCACCATATGGCAAAAACCTTAAAAAAATTATAAGAATTTTAAAAATGATGATAATACAAGTAATGTGCTTAAGATTGTACCTGGCATGTAGGAAGTGTTCAGTAAAAATTTTCATTGTCGTTGTCATTATCGTATTAAGTTGGTGAGCTCAGTTGGCAGGCAACATTTAGGAATTCCATTTCAAGGCATGGTAAAATTCTGCTTACCTTGCCAGTCTGTGCTCCTCACAGGTGTCCACTATAATTTGTTTATTCCCTAGGCTTTAGTCTGGCTGTTGATCAGCTCAGAGCTGAGGCTGAACCTGGCACTTGGATGGCTTCCTTCTCTTGCCCAACTTGTCACGGTTCGTGGCAGAATGTTTCTCTAACACCTTTTTGGGTCTGGAGCCTTTGTAGATAGAAACTTTAATGTATAACTCTTTTGACTTGCTTTCCAAGAAGCAGCAGTAAAGACCATTCTCTAGGTGAGTGTCTTAGCCTCTTGTGGTCAGCTATTTTGCTGACAGAGACTGCTGTTCTTGGTCATTTATTTTTCTTTATCTAAGTTTATTTGTATTTATTTCTTTCGTGTGAAAGGGAGACAGAGAGAAAGAGACAGCCATCCCCAACAGGGTCTTCACACAGCAATCCTACCCTTAGCCTCAGCCAGTTTAGATCATGGGCATGTGCATGTATTCCTAGTATGTACAGGGAGACCCTGGGACATGAACCTGGGACCTTCCCTTGTGTTTTCAACATTGTGGAGCATTGTGTTACCACTGTGCCACTACATCTGGCCCTTGGTAGTTTCTTTTTTAATTGCCAGATGGTGTTTGCACTCAATAGAGAGAGAAAAACAGGAGAAAGTGTGGTGTGGTCACCCCTGCGATCTTTTCTCTATTTCCCCATCCTGTCAGGATATTGGACACACACATACATTCACACACTCCTGGTGTGTTTTTCAAGCCACCAGAGCCAGGATTCAAACCATAGTCAGACATGAAGGATCTGGCTCCCTTAATTAACCACTAGCATACAGAGCTAGCCTGGCCCTTGGTAATTTTTGACGCTTTTTTCTTTTTAATAGAAAGATTTTTGCTATAGGGCACATGCGCTTGCCAGAGAGACAGAGACAGAGAGAAAGAAAGGGAGAAATCACCCCTAAAGGGGGATGGCCATGCCACAATATCTTCTCCATTCTTGGGCATTCTTGGGCCCAAGATCCCAAGATCTCCTCTTGGGATCTTGGGCATGTATGGACACACCTGGCATGAGTTTGAAGCCACCGAGTTTGGGACTTGAACCATGGTTGACTACATGGAAGCCCGGCCAGGTAACCATTGCACCATCTGCTGGTCCTGACTTTTTTTTTTTTTTTTTTAATTTGCTATAGGACCATTGCATTTGCCAGAGAGAGACAAAGAGAGAAAGCGTGAGAAAGCACCCCTCAGGGGATGACCACACTGCAATCCTCTCTCTTCCATTCTCCTCTGGGGATTTTGGGCACACATACACACACCTGGTGTGTCTTTTAAGCCAGTAGTCTAGGATTCCTACCATACAGTCAGCATGTGGAATCTAGCCCCTTAATCACCATGCCTCTGCCTGGCCCCAACTTCACTTTATTCTTAAACGTTTAGAACAGTCCAGAGGAAGAGATTGAACTAAAGAAGTTAAAAGATTTGGAGAAGTCTGTGGAGAAGATAGCTAACCAGCTGGAAGAATTGAATAAAGAGCTTACTGGAATCCAGCAGGTAACTTCCTTCATAGACTTTGACTTTTACCTCTGTAAGAATTTCACGGCTATATTTGTGTGGGTAAGAGGGTAGGCTCTGCGGTCAGAATCCCTGCATTCAGTCCTGGATCCTCCCTTTCTCTTATTGTGGACAAGTTTGTTTTGTCTTAAGTTCCTCATCTGTGAAAATGAGAATAATGGTGGTAGTTCCCTCTCAGGGTTGTGTGAGGATTAAATGATGTAGGTTGAGCCTTATAAATAGTAAGTGCCTTGTGATTATTGCTATCATTGTTATTGTCAAACCGCAGCCATCATCCATTTGTGCTTATAGGAAAGCACCTGCTGGACTAGGATATGTATTGTCTGAAATAAAACAGGTAGCTTCTTGCTTTTGGAATATGGTAGCAAGGCAGAGAACCTTTTTTTGAAGGTCCAAGTGGCACGTGATCCTAGTTAGGTAGAAGGGCCATCAACTCTGTATATTAGAGATGGAGTAGTGAAACCCAGTAAGGGTAAGAACAGCTTGAGAACACCTGTTTCTTTCCCCCCCTTATTTTATATATTAATGGGTATCTGTATTTTAACTACTAAAGTAATGCATGGTAGTTGTACAAAAGTTTTCAGTGAGAAAGAGAATACTAAAGGACAAAAGAGAGATATTTTCTTATTTTCTTAAAGAATTATTTAATTTTATTTGTCATCATCGTTATTATTTTAATTTGACCAGAGAAATAGAGAGAGGAAAGCAAGAAAACAAGCCACAGGTCCGGGGCTTGAACCATGGTCGGTCATGTGGGAGTCCACTGCACTTAACCACCATGCCACCTGCTACCCCCTGACGTTTTATTTTTTATTATAACTTGCTATAGAGTATGTGTGTGCTCCACAGAGACAGAATAAGAGAGAGGGTAAATGAGAAAGCTCTCCCTAGATGGGGGATAGCCATGCCATGGTCCCTTCTTCATTCTCCTCTTGGGATTTTAAGCACATCCGCACGTGCCTGGCTTGTTTTTCAAGCTGCTGAGTCCAGGACTCAAACTGTAAAACCAGCCATATGGGATCCAACCACCTCAACCACCATGCCATTGGCCGACCTTAAGACGGAAATGTTTTGGGGACTAGCAGTTAGTGTAATGGCTATGTCGCTGGACTCCCACGTAGTCGACTGCTGTTCGAGTCCCGGACCCAGTGGCTTAAACTCACGCCGGGCGCGTGTGCGTGCGTGCCCAAGATCCCGAGAGGAGAATGGAGAAGAAGGGATTGCGACGTGGCCATCCTCCCCGGGGGGTGATTTCTTGCTTTCTGTCTCTCTGTCTCTCTCTGTCTGGCGAGCGCACATGCCCTGTAGCAAAACCCTCTCCAAAAAAAAAAAACAGACGGAAATGTTTTTGACAAGGTCTCACTTTTGTGATCTTCTACCCCTCGCCATCCAGTCAGCTAGGATTATAGGCATGCACTACCACCCCATTTAGGTTGCCTCGTCTGTTGAGATTGGTCCACATTCCAAACCTGGACTCCCCTATCACCTCAACCTCATGCAGCAGTGCCCTACCGCTTGTACCACTGTGTCTGGGCCTGTATAAAAGTTTTAAATATGTATATATAGACACAAATATAGAAAATAAAAATTACCTGTAAGGCCCTGATTTAGAGATAGCCATTACTAAAATCTAAAATATATTTTTTATTTAAAAACAATGGATATAGGGCCGGCAGGTGGTGTGGTAGTTAAGGGCGCTGGACTCCCATATGGCTGACCATGTTTCAAGTCCTGGGCTGGGCAGCTTGCTTTCTCTCTCTCTCTTTCTCTCTCTCTCTCTCTCTTGCTCACTCTGTCCCTCTCTGGTCAAATTAAATTAATTGGTAAATAAACTTAAATAAAATCTTTTTTTCAAAAAAAAGGATATACTGTTATATGCACTTCATAAAATTTCCTTTTATTTGATTTTAAAAAAATGGAACATTTTCCTGGGCTGGCAAGAGACATGGTGGTTAAGGCTCTGAGCCCACATGGCCAATTCTGTGGTTCAAGTCCTGGACCTGGTGTCTTGAAAAACATGTTGGGTGCATGTGTATATATGCCCAAAATCCCTAGCAGAGACTGAAGGAAAACAGATTGCAGTGTGGCCATCTCCCTTGTGATTTCTCACTGTCCCTCTCTGGCAAGTGCGTGTGCTCTACAACAACAACAAAAATACTAAAAAAATTATTTGAACATTTTCTTATGACATTAAACATTATACTTTTAAAAGCTTTCATAATATATCATCATATGTGAATGTATCATGGTTTATCTAACCAATTTTCTGTTATTCATCACCTGACACTTTTATCTTTACGTGTAATGCTTCTTCCAGCGTTCTTTTCTGACCATTTCTGATTCTTTTTGGCAGAATAAATTCTTTGAGTTTGAATTGCTGGGTAATGTTTATAGCTCTTGCTACATGATATCAAATCTGCATCTATAGTTTGTGGTTTTGATAAACATCCTCAGAGATCTTGTTGTCCTACTCTCTTCACTGACTAACTTGTCATTAGGCCAAGCAATCTAAATAAATAGTAAGATAATTTAATAAAAGTAATGTAAGTACTGCTGGCATCTGTTAGCATATATCTATGCCACAGATTATGTTAAGCATTTACATATAGTTTCCATTATCCTCACAGTAACTCACTAGGGTCTAGGTATTGGGTATCATAATCTCCTTTTTTTTTTTTTTTTTTTTTTATTTTTGGCACATGGCTGTGTGCTCGCGGTTTGCATCCTGGACCTGGTGGCTTAAAACTCACGCCGGGCGCATGTGCGTGTGTGCCCAAGATCCCGAGAAGAGAATGGAGGAGAAGGGATTGCGGCGTGACCATCCCCCCTGGGGGGTGATTTCTCGCTTTCTGTCTCTATGTCTCTCTGTCTGTCTGGTGAACGCACGTGCCCTATAGCAAAAACCTCAAAAAAAAAAAAAAAAAAAAGAGAGAGAGCGGGAGATTAGGGCCCCAGCCTGTGGCGTGTTAGTTGAGACAGGTCCTACATGGCCAACTTTGCAGTTCAAGACCCAGACCTGGTGATTTAAAAAACGTGCCAGGCTCATGTACAAGCGTGTCCAAAATCCTAAGAGGAGAGTGAAGAAGGGAGCAAAGCATGGCCATCCTCTGTAAGAGGGGGTGATTTCTCACTTTCTTTTTTTTTTTGGAGAGGTTTTCGCTATAGGGCATGTGCGCTCACCAGACAGACAGAGAGAGACATAGAGACAGAAAGCGAGAAATCACCCCCCAGGGGGGATGGCCACACCACAATCCCTTCTTCTCCATTCTCCTTTTGGGTTCTTGGGCACGCACACACACGTGCCTGGCATGTGTTTAAGCCGCCGGGTCTGGGACTCGAACCGTGGTCGACTACATGGGAGTCCAGTGACATAGCTATTACGCTAACGCTGGTCCCATAATCTCCATTTTTAAAATGAGTACACTGAAGCATGAATACTTAAAGTAACTTATTCAAGCTCACAAACCAATAAATGGCAGTCAAGATTCATGACACCTAGGCCTGTCAGACACTGAAGCCTAGGCCTCTTATGTGCAGGTATTCACTTGTGATTAGGGCTACCCTAGAACCAAGCCTCAGGTGGCATTTGCTGCCCTAGTGGGCCCTGAGAGAAAGCAGCCTACAGTCTGTTAGGATTCTTAGACTGGCCCACGGCCAGTCTTTCTGTTTTTTCTCTCTTAGAAATGATAAGTCTGGGGACCAGCAGTTGGCATATGGCTATATTGCTAGACTCCTATGTAGCCAACTGCGGTTCGAGTCCGAGACCTGGTGGCTTAAACTCACGCTGGGCGCGTGTGCTTGCGTGCCCAAGATCCTGAGAGGAGAATGGAGGAGAGGAGATTGCAGCATGGCCGTCCGCCCAGGGGGTGATTTCTTGCTTTCTGTCTCTCTGTCTCTCTCTGTTTTTCTGGAGAGTGCACGCACCCTATAGCAAAAAAACTCTCCCCAAAAAAGAAAGATACGTCTGACATGATAAGTCTGACATATGGCCTGGCCTCTAAGGACAACAGTGGACTCCGGGTGTGATTTTCCTTTAGTACTATGGGTTGAAGTTTTCCTTCAGACTCAGGGAGCCCTTGCAGTAATGCATTATTCCCCCACAGGGTTTTCTGGCCAAGGATTTGCAAGCCGAAGCTCTCTGCAAACTCGATAGGAGAGTAAAAGCCACAATTGAGCACTTTATGAAGATCTTGGAGGAGATTGACACACTGGTAAGTAAATATTCAGCTGAGAAGAATTGCCTTTAACTACTAATATTTTTTAGTCAGGCTAACTCTTCAGTAATACACTGTTACTACCTGAGCAAATAGATCACCTAAGGATGTTGAGCAGCTCCTACTGTGTACCAAACTCCACACTAGGACCAGGGGTGAACACACAGAATGATGAACAGTTCCTGATTCCTCAGCATTCACAGCCCATTAGCACTGGGCTTTTCTCAAATATACTTAAAAATAGCATCATAATCATTATGAAGCTCAGACCTAAAAAGTCTATGATTTCATGATCAACAAAACACAGGCTCCAGTTTTCCTGATAATGAAATGACTGATTAGTCTATTGTGCTCATTTTCTATAGAAAATCCAACCAGACCCAGATCTTGTGAGGCTATTGAGAATCATTAACTTCAGGTTCTTTTTTATAAATGATATGATATCTCCAGGTTGATGCTTCATTCTTTTTTAAAGATTTATTTATTTATTTATTTCCATTTATTATTGTTATTTTTTACTTTATTTGACAAGAGAGAGAGAGAGAGAAAGAGAGAGAAAGAGAAAGGGAAAGTGAGAAAGCAAGCCACCAGGTCCAGGACTTGAACCATGGTTGGCCATGTGGGAATCCAGCCCTTATCCACCACACCACCTCCTGGCCCCGATGCTTCATTCTTGAGGGTGAACTGCTCTGTGCTTGGGATTTTATGGTGGATGGAGAGACTATAACGAAGCAGAAGGTACTTTGCCTAACACACTGAGCTCATGGTCTGGCCAGGGCATAGTATCTGTACATAGGAAACAGTGGAAGATCTCTGTTACAGATCATTGAGTACAAAGGGAGCTTTTGTAGGGACCAGAGCCATGGAAAGGGCATGTAGGATACAGACCTGGGGAAACAATTCCTGAAAGTGGTAACAATTCATTCACAGTGGTAACCTATGACCTGTTTGGTGTACCGTGTTTCTGATGTGTTTTCATTTCATTTTCACTAGGGGTTATTTATGTGTCAACTTATTCTTCCGTAGATTCTGCCAGAAAATTTCAAAGACAGTAGACTGAAAAGGAAGGGATTGGTGAAAAAGGTTCAGGTGAGTTTTATAATAGTGCATGACACAGTATGCTGTATTAGTGTTCTGGTGTGTGTATTTCTGTTCTGAGTGGAGTTCATCAGCATGAATCCAGAGCATCAGAAAAGAGCTTCCTTCATATTTTTGTATTTGTATTTGAATTTAAACTGTTGAGGGAGGAAGCTCCCTGGAGAGCACATAGGACTGACACATTACACAATTCCAAGAGCTACGCTTTGTGTGGATAGTACTCCTCGCAGTTATATGGTAGCATTGCAGTGATCATAATACAAGGCTTCCTGTCCTCACCACCAGTTGGGGGATTGTTGCCTAGAGCATGATCAGAATTCCTGGTCCTATGCTTCCGTCGCCTTACTGTGGAAGCCAGACCAGGTGCCTATCTCTATCGCTGCACAGCCTGTCTTGAATCTCACTCACAGATCCCCTACAGTGGGCAAGCAAAAGCCTGGCAGTAGTCAGCTAGCCCTGGATGGGTCCTCACTGCCCTGTGTCTGTCTTATAGGCGTTCCTAGCTGAGTGCGACACAGTGGAGCAGAACATCTGCCAGGAGACCGAGCGGCTACGATCTACAAACTTGGCCCTGGCTGAGTGAGGTGCAGCAGAGGCTGTGCTGCTCAGGTGAACAGCACCCTCAGCTCTGTCGTCTGGAATGGAAGTAACCAGGTTTCTTCAGCACTTCCTGGGGCAGCTGGCCATCGCCAGCTTTCCTGTCCCTACACTGATTATCAATGAGAAAATATTGTCTTTGCAACCTTAAGTAGAGTACCTGTCTCCTTTCTCGTTCTGTCTCTCTGTGGCTGTACTGTCCAGCAGCCCACTTTTTCTGGAGAGGCCTCCCTGTCCAAACTTTCCTGACTCCTTTGACTTTCATGTGCTTCCTGTGGGATGGGGAGGGCTTTGGTCTGTCCTGGGTTAGGTCCAGGTTTATAGGCCATTCTGGGCTTCAGATACCAGGACTTTTTTGCCCTGGTGATCCCATAGTGCCATCGCTATAAAGCCAGAATCACGAGGTGACTGTGTCTAGTCAGGAATGTGGGGAATGGCTTAGAACTGGTGTTTGACACACAGATACCCAGGTAGCCTTCATTGTAAGCCAACTTCAGAACATTTAGGTTGTTGGTTTACAGACCCTGTCCTCACCTCCCAGTGACCCTGCTCAACCACAGGCTGTGAGATATCAGGGATCCAGTCCTGGGATAGGGCCTGTGGTTGATGCATAGTCTTCCTTATCTCCCAAGTAATTCTTCAAGCTAGTACTCAGTGTTGACTGAGTGTCTGCTTAAAACCAGGCCAGAGCCATGGTTTAGGAAGGGTGAAGAAGGAGCTAGAATTACTAAACCAGGCAGACAGTGAAGCCAGCCACAATCTTCTCTGGAGTGACATGTGCTTCCTTTAAAGACATTTTAGTTAACCGTACCCTTCTGAGGTCTGTATTTGCTTCAAGTCTGTCCCTCTATTTTGTTGACTCCCCTCACCCATTGTTATTAAAAAGCAGTTTGTATGCCCATCAGCAAACAGAAGAGTGTTTTATTTTAATTTTTCTCTGATTGATGAAGTATGAGTAAGAAAAAGCCTTTAGTGGCTCTAGTCATAATTTATGTTTAATAAAGTTGAGCAGCCCTGAGTGCTAGAACTCTTCTTAAACTGGTCAGCTGCTTTCACCACATTCTTTAGCATAGTGCCCAAAAGGCAGGCTCCTAACAGGCCACTCATTTAGCAGAGAGGAATTCACTGAGGTCTCTGGAATTTAGGAGTGGGTGGGTAAGACCTTGGACAAGTAAGTAATATTTCATTTAATACACTGCCAGCCAGGTGAAGACTCCTTTTCTCCATCTCTATTCCAGCATGGCCAGGAAACTACATTTTAACTACGGGGATATAAATAGAGCATGTACATCTTAAGGTGAGTGGTAAAAAGAAGTGCCCTTCTTTTTTCCTCTCTGACCTGGAATGTAGACATGATGGTTGGAGGTGGGGCAGCTGCCTTGGACCTTGAGATAGAAAGTGATGAGGATTACAGAGTAGTAATATAGAATGAACAGGCAGTTACCATACTGTCCCTGATGATCATGGTCTTGTCATACTGCATAGGTCTATGTGTATAAGAATTAATTTCTATCTGTTTAAGCTATCGTTACTTTGGGTTTTCTGTCTCACAACCAAACTTAATCTTACATCATTCATATGCAGGTGGGAATCATGTTTATCAATAGCAGTATACAAACCTATAGATGATCTCCCAGTCCCTGCCACCTACAAGTCTATCCACAATAATTCCTGCCCAGTTCATTCAGCCAGGGAACATAGGTTTCTGCCTTCCCTGCCTTCACTTCCCTCTCAGATGTTGTTTTTCTTTTTCCTTCCAAGCTGAGCACAAGGTGCATATTGAGGGAGATAGACATACATTCCACAGAAGGAACGGGCCAGTGCCAAGGCAGGCAAGCAGGCCTCAGAGAGAGACATCCCAGTACAGAACAGGCCATTGACAAGGGAGGCAAGTAGATCCAGATCTTTTTTCACAGAGCATTTTCTGCTCTTTCTGTTCACCCTAGCAAAGAAATCTGAGTCCATGAAAATCTATTCTCATTTGGCCAGACCTCTTCCTACACTCCTTTCCCCTGTCACCATCATCAAGAGGTTCCTCATATAGGCTTTGGCCAAAAGAGATATGTAACATATACCACAGGCTGGAGTCCTGTCTGTGGTGGGACTTCTGAATGTTGGATTCCCTGTGGGCCACTGCGTGAGTGCATGTGTGCTGTGTGCCTGGGGCTGTGTCTGATGTCTAAGTTTGACAGACAGAGCAGATGTTGACCAAAAGAGTAGAACGTGCTCTAGAAGTCATCTTGCTGTGCCAAGGATTAGGCCCAGACACAACACTGGAAGATCCAGACGACAATCTGAATGACCAGGGTATAGGGGAGCACTTAGTGGGCTTGAGGCAGCACTTGTGTTTGACTGCTTAGATCTACTCTGATATAGGGACCAGCAGATGGCATAATGGTTACGTTGCTGAACTCTCACATGACTGACTGCGGTTTGAGTCCCAGATCCAGTGGCTTGTAACTCATGCTGGGCACATGTGTTGTGCATGCCCCAAATCCCTAGAATGGAGGAAAAGGGTTTGTAGTATAGCCATTCCCCCTGGGGGTGATTTCTCGCTGTCTCTCTCTCCCTCTCTGGCAGGTGCATGTGCCCTATAGCAAAAATATCTCAAACAAACAAACAAAACAAAACAAAACAAAAGGAAAAAGAAAAAGACCTACTCCAATGTTATAATAAGCAGTTCAGCTGTACTATGTACATTGTCTGAATATCAACCATAATTGTGGTATGTGTGTGTGTGTGTGTGTGTGTGTGTGTGTGTGTGTGTACGTGTGTGCACGTGCCTTGAAGTTCTGATATAACTCAGAAGAAAGCCATGTGGGGTTTGAGACCCTCACAGAGGCTGTCAGGTTGGGTCATATCCTAGCAGTGGCAGAGGATACAGATCTCACTAGGTTCTTGGTTAGAGTAACAGTCTAGGCTGGGGCAGATGTGAGCATTGGGCAGTATCCTAGGGCCAGGAGCTATGCTCTCAAGCAGACAAAAGATACTGGGACCTCCAAAGGGACATGACAGAATTGAGCATCAGAGGGATGGAGAGAAACCGGACATCAGATTCAGGAAGATTGAAAGATCCACCCCCGACCAAAACCAACTCCCAGAGTCTCCAAAGACATTTTTTCACTTTGCTGGGTTGGCCAGATCTTTTATTTCATGTCACATCCTCTGCATGCCCAATCACTGTGCTCCAGCCTGAAGCTTCGTGGCTGGAGCCCCTCCTCCAGGTTCAGCATTTACCATCCTTCACGATCTGGATGTCCTGTTTTGTGTTTCTAGGATCACAGGAGACAAGATTGAAGCCACTTCCTCAGGAACTGTACCCTTCAGAGACCTGGCTCAGTCCATCTACACACCCTCCTGAGCCGTACCTACCCATGCAGTGTGGGGATATAGGGCAGATCCAGGGGCTTGCGGGCACACTCTTCTATAGCTTTTCCCCCTGCACACCCTTCCCCTGGGAAATTTTAGCTTCCTAGGATTTCAACCACCACTGTGTTCTGACGGCAGCCAAATCTGTCTTCAGGCTGGACCTCTGTCCTGTGTATTCATGAAATTGCCTATGGCACATAGCCATCTGGATATTCCAGAATGTTCCACAGGCTCAGCCATCCACAAACATCAATGTCCTCCAAAACTGCTACACTCCCTCATCTCCCCATCTTGGCACATGGCACCATGGGACACCCAAGCCCAAAAGTTACAAGCCAACATGCTATTCTTGTCCCCTTCCTCCCCAACCCCCACTTCACATTCAATCAACTACACCTGATCTATCTCCTAATGAGAGTCCTTCACTACCATGATCTTTATCTGAACTAGGACAATGTACTACTGTTCCTTAAATTTCCTCAAATACAGATTTTTTTTTCCCGTCTGGAGCTTTACTGCTTCCAAGGACTATCTTATTTTCCATGATCTCATTAGCTCTCATGTCAACTCCAAGGTCATGTGCTGGCCCTGCTTACCTCTCTGGACTCATTTCATGCTTCTCCATTCTCCTTTAAGCTTTGCACTCAGCATGTTTAACATGTAGTTCCTAGTTTTCTTCTAGACCATCCCAAACTTTCTTCTCTATGAAATTATCTTCCCTTTTCCTTTATTTTTTCTAGCTAATTTCTACTTATTCCTTAAGGCTGAGCTCACATGTCTTCCCTGCTCTGCCTCTTTCCTGCTCTTATGGCACTGTGTGTCCCATCTGAGCCTTTAGCTTTCTGTGCTGTGGTGGGCTGCCTATCAACCTGGCTTTGCCCTTAGACTGACCCTATGCTACAGGAGGCCAGTGAGGCTGTGTAGCTTAACATGCGCCATTCTGTCCCCCAGTATTAGCACGTGGAAGGTGCTTAATAATAATCGTCAGCTGGAGAAGTGAAAGATCAAATGAGGGTTCTCTAGTAGGGGGCAGGACAAGGAGAAAGAACCCATGGTTTGGTCCCCACTCTCTGTCCCCCACCAGCTTCTGGAACCCGTGGCCTTTGAAACTCTTATGCAAGTTTTGATCTTTTAAAACTCAAATGCACTAGAGATAGAGTCCATTCCAGCAAACCGGGAGTAGTGGGGGTGCACAGGGCAGGTTGGACTTACATCCTGGCCAAGCAGAGTTGGCATTCACTGTCATATGTAACCCCATTAGTGCCACAGACTGGGTTGGATGTCTTGGAACAATCTGGAGTCTCTCCCATATGCTCACAGATGGGCTGTGGAAGACAGGAAGGGAAAGGACTCAGGGACTTAGAGGCAGTGGAGAGCGACCTAGGGACTCTACTTGGAGCCACAGGGACTCCTGGGAGGAGCCAGCCAGCTAACTAGATCACAGCACTGTGATGTCGTTGGTCAGACACTGTCAAAAATAACTGTCTCAGGGACCAACAGATAACATAATGGTTACGTCACTGGACTCCCATGTAGTCGATCGTAGTTCAAGTCCCGGACCCGGTGGCTTAAACTCATGCCGGGCCTGTGTGTGTGCGTGCGTGCCCAAGATCCCGAGAGGAGAATCGAGGAGAAGGGATTGTGGTGTGGCCATCCCCACTGGGGGATAATTTATTGCTTTCTGTCTCTCAGTCTCTCTCTGTCTTTCTGGCAAGTACATACACCCTATAGCAAAAACCTCTCCAAAATAAATGAATGAATGAATGAATGAATGAATGTCTCTCACTCTCTCCCTCTCATTAAAAAGAAAAAGAAAGACCCCTGTGTTGGTCCAGTCAACATGAGCCAGGTACTCGGGGCCCTTGACCTATTTGTTTGCATGTGTGTGCATAACTCTGCCTGTGGCTGTGTTGTGTACATAGTGTATACTTGTATCTGCTGAGCCCAGATAAGCAGGCAGCCAAAGGCATGCTTGTATGTGTGTGTGGAGTGAGCCTGTGTCCCTCAGGTCCTGGGCACTGATCCACACATTCCTCAGAAGGTCTAACTAGAACTTCTGCCGCTGCACCTATTGAGGAGCTCGGTATACAAACTCATCATTCCCAGGAAGCCCCTCATCAGGGACTCCATAACTCATCCTGGCTTGCCTAGTCTAGCAGGCCATTGGCAGAAAGGGCCACAGGGTGAAAGGCTGGAGAAATGGGGCTTAGTTGAGGCTCAGTCTGAAAGAGTTTCAGGCCAGGCCCAAAGTGAGAGTCAGAAGTGAGTCAAGACTGGGACTGGGCCCTGGAATTGGAAAGGGGTGAGGGTGGCAGGAGTTCTGAAGGCCCAGGCCCTAAAGACCTGTGTTCTGCCGATGAAGTAGCTGTGTAAACTTGGATGATCTGTATCCACTGTCTGAGCTTCAGTTTTTTCATCTGTAACAATTATAAGTAAAATGCCCAGCCCCATAACACAGTGATTAAGTACTGTGCGCTGGAAGCTGGATGCCACATGGCCAATGCTGATATAAATCCTGGCCCTCATGGCTTGGAACATTCTAGGCACAAGCATGTATATGCCCAGAATCCTTACAGGAAGAAATGGAGGAAAGGGATTGTGGAATAGCCACACCCCACTAAGGGATGCTCTCTCTCTTTCCCTCTGGTGAGCACACGCCCTCTGGCAATAATAATTTTTAATGTAAATAATACTTTTTCTCTCACATGGAATTGATGGAAATAATATAGGATAGGATTTTGGTGTGACCATCCCCCAGGGGGTTGCTTTCTCACTTTCTCTCCTGGTGAGTATATGAGCCTTCTGGCAAATTTTTAAAAAAAGAAAAGAGAATGCATGTGAAGTGTCTGGTTCTTCTGTCTAGCCCCTAGTAAATGGGGCTGGGTTCTGATGTATTAGCAGGGAAGATGACAAGGCAGCTTTGAGTCTCCTTGTGCACCTATTTTAAGGGTTGTGTGGAGGGTTTCAAGGATGTCCGCATCACTACCTTGGGGCCACTGGACACATCAGATCCAGGGCAAGGTGGATCAGGGTTCAGGGACAACTTGGTGATTGCATGCTCAGAGTGAAGGGAAGGATGATATGGTATCTGATTGGCAGAGAGACAGGCACATTCACAGGGCCACTCAGTGTGCCAGGGTCACCTCTTGGTATGAACCCATAGCTTGTCTGTCTGCAGAGAACACATTCTTCTGTGAAACCTGGATGGGGAGATCTCACCAATGAAAGGAACCTTGAAGATCCAGTTGGGGCAGATCCTGAGGGCTCTGTAGCCAGGCTTAGGATTTTGGCAAGAGGGCTGGGCCTGCTCAGCCTGGAGGGGCTACTAGAGGGAACATGCAGGCTCAGGAGGCCACCCTAGCCTTCTCAGAGCCATTGAAGGTGGCTGAGCAGAAGTGTGGAGATGAACACAGCCTTCCCAGCATGGGAGAGAGGATTCCTCCCTGCAACGAGAAGGCCAGAACAACAGGCAGCTTGCCTTACCATTCTTGAGAAAATTAACTTGCCTGCTGACACTGGTATTTCTGCAAGACAAAGAAACAAAACTTAGGTATTGTCATCTGCTGGGTCCAGGTCCAGGGGTCTAAGGACTGATTCACCTTCTGGGGCCCTGGCCCAACCACTACCCAATCTGAAATTCCTTAAGGAAAAATCAGTGAGTGACCGACCAGCTGATGGGCCTGCCAGGAAGCTGATGTGAACTTGGGTTATATGAACAGAGACAGTCTAGAATTAGGGAGGTGACAGTCCAGCCTATTCCTCATTAATCAGATCCCACTGCAACTCTTGTGCCCCATATAATAACGATAATTCTGGGTTAGGGACCAGCAAGTGGTGTGTAGGTTAAGGCAGCTAGGTACTGTATGGCCAACTGTGCAGTTTGAGTCCCGGACTGGCACCGTGAAAACACACTGGACACATGTACATGAGTGTCCAAAATTCCAAGAGAAGGGATTGCGAGGAGGCCATCCCCCAGGGGGTCATTTCTCACTTTTTCCACTCTCTCTGGTGAGTGTTTGCATACTATTGCAAAAGTAATGATTTAGGGACCAAAAGATGGCATAATGATTACATCGCTGGACTGCCACATAGTTGTCAGCAGTTCAAGTCCTGGACCCAGCAGCTTAAAATTCACACCGAGTGCATGTGCATGCATACCCAAACTCCTGAGAGGAGAATGGAGAAGGGATTGCGGCATGGCCATTTCACCCAAGGGGTGATTTCTTGCTTTCTGTCTCTGTCTCGCTGTCTTTCCAGCAAGTGCATGCGCCTTATAGCAAAAAATCGTTCTTAAAAAATTTTTTTTAAATAATTCTGGGGCCAGTCCTGGAGTCTAGTGATTGAGAGAGAGCTGGAGCCCACATGCTGACTGTGGCTAGAATCCTGGTCCTGTCGGCCTCATGCCAGGCTGGCACACACATGCCCAGGATCCTGACAGGGTGGTGAAGGAAAAGGACTATGGTGAGACCATGGCCCTTAGGTACTTTCTCTATCATGCATGTGCTCTCTATCATTAATAAAAATAAATAAACTTTTTAAAATTGATAAGATGGGACCAATAGATGGTGTACTGGTTACATCTCTGTACTCCCACATGGCCTACCACAGGTTCAAGTCCCAGACACAGTGGCTTGGAACTCACGCCAGGCATGTGTGCTTGCATGTCTGAGATCCCAGGAGGTGACTGGAGAAGGAACTGTGGCAAGGTCTTCCCCCCTAGGGATTGATTTCTCGCTTTCTGTCTCTCTGTCTCTCCAGCAAGCACATGTGCCCTATAGCAAAAATCTCCCTTAAAAAAAAAAAAAAAAACAGGTAAGAGCCATTGAATGGTAAGATTTGTGCATTTCATAGTATTAACTGGTAGGGAAAAGGAAAGCATTTAATGGGGCCAGCTTATGGCATGCTGATTAAGGTGACTGGATCCTACATGGCTGACTACTTGGTTCAAGTCCTGGACTCTTAGACTTGAACCAGATGTGTGTGCATGCATGCCCAAAATCCTGACAGGAGAGAGACATGGAGAAGGGAATTGTGGGATGACCGTTCCCCATGGGGGTTACTGTCTTGCTTTTTCTCACTTCTCCGCTCTGAGTGCACATGCTTTCTAGCAAAATTGAACAAAATATAAAAAAAGCATTTTAAAACTCTAAAGCCTAGGGCCAGCAGGTGGCATGGTAGTTAAAGTGCTGGACTCCCACATTGCCAACAGTGGTTCAAGTCCCAGACCTGGTGGCTTGAAAATCACACCGGCCGTGTGTGTGTGCTTACTTAGAATCCCAGGATAATGGAGAAGAGAGGATTGCAGTGTGGCTATTTCCCCACCAGAGGGATGATTTCTCACTGCCTCTCTCTGTCTTTCTTCAGCAAGTAAACACACCCTATGGCAAAAACCCTAAAAAATAATAAAATTTAAAAAAAAACAAAAAACCTAAAGCTCTTCTGTGGTTCCCTGTCATGATCACTATCCTCTCTATGGATCTGAGCTCCTTAGTCTTATTTAGGGTACTGCATGAGAATTGACCCCAGACTTGCCCCTTGGACTTTCTGCTGGTATACTCGTCTATGTCCCTAAGCTCTAGGTAGCTAGTATTTATTTTGGTTTTGCTATAGGGTGTGTGTTCTCGCCAGAGAGGAGAGAGAAAGAGAGAGAACACCCCTGAGGAGATGGGCAGACTGTAATCCCTTCTCTTGGGATTTTAGGCATGCACACACATGTGTCTGGTGTATTCTCAAGCCACACCAGGGTCTGGGACTCAAACCAGGCAGTCGGCCATGTGAGCTCTAGCTGCCTTATCCACTACACTACCACTGTCCCTCCAGCTATTCCATTCTGCTCACTGAACAGGCTGACTCATGCAGTTCCCTGCCTGAAATGTCCTTATCCCGTTCTCCTATTGAAATATACCTTCCCAGGACCAGCAGACCCAGTAGCTTTAACTCAGGCCGGATGCGTGTGCATGCATGCCCAAGATCCCGAGAGGAGAATGGAGAAGGGATTGCGGTGTGGCCATCCCCCCTGGGGGGGTGATTTCTCGCTTTCTGTCTCTCTGTCTCTCTCTGTCTTTCTGACAAGCACATGCGCCCTATAGCAAAAAAAACTCTCAAAAAAAAAAAAAAGAAAAAGAAAAAAAAAAACATACCTTTCCTTAAGCCTCAGATGCTGCCTCCCAGTGGAGCCTTCCCTGATGTTGCATGGTTTCCTGAGCACACCTAGATTTAGGCTGCTTTCGTGCCTCCACGTGTTGTCCTACTTACTGGGTCATCCTGGTTCCCTATGGGACTGAGCTCTTTGAGGTTCCTTTATGTCTGCCACCACTGAGCAACACTACTCAATGCCCTACATATGGAGTGATCAGGAACTGGCCACTAAAGTGCTCTTTTTGGGGGGCGGGGGTAGTTCAGAACCATGTACCATAGTTTCTTCCTGGGCAACATGAGAGGAAGATGCATTTATCCATAGGCTGTCCCTGACCTTGACCCAAAGGTGCCCCCTCGTCATTCAGCCCAAGCAGGCATCTGAAATGTCCAGTCTCCTTAGTGTGCCCATCCAAGGACTGCTCAGAGAATGGGTGCCAGGCTGGGAGTAAACAGGCTGTGCCTGACCAGAGCCCTATACCCCACTGCCCAGTCCCCAGGTATATATCCTAGATAGGAAATAGGTGTGGGACTGGCCATGAACTCAAAGGCCCTGGGGTCCTCCTAGGAGTTGCCTGTAACATTAGGGCTTTTGTTCAAGTGGCCCCTAACAGGTCTCCCTGCTTCCCCATTCACCTTATTCTGAACATGTTAATTAGACCAGTCCCTTAAAGAAACAACTCTGGGGCAAGCAGGTGGCTTGCTTAAGGTGTTAGATTCCCACATTTCCAACTACAGTTCAAGTCTTGGCCTCAGTGGCTTGAAAATTATAAAGGGTTGGGGACCAGCAGGTGGCATGGTGGTTATAGCTCTGGACACTCCCACATGACTGACCATGGTTTGAGTTTCTCAACCTGGTAGCTGGCTTTCTTGCTTTCTCTCTCTCTCTGATTATATTAAAATGAATGAATGAATAAATAAGATTAAATTTTAAAAATTCTTTTTTTTGATTTTTTTTTCCCCTATAGGGCACGTGCACTCACCAAAAAGACAGAGAGAGACAGAGAGATAGAAAGCGAGAAATCACCCCCTGAGGGGATGGCCATGACGCAATCCCTTCTCCTCTATTTTCCTCTCGGGATCTTAGGCATGCATGCACACGCGCCTGGCGTGAGTTTAAGCCACTGGATCCAACTGCGGTCGACTGCTTGGGAGTTCAGCAACATAGCCATTACGCTAACTGCTGGTCCCTAAATTTTAAAAATTCTTAAAAAAAAAAAAAAAAGGAAATTGTAAGGGGGCAGCAGGTGGTATAGTGGTTAAGGCACTGGACTCCCACATGATCGACTGTGGTTTGAAAACTCAAGCCAGGTTCATGTACATATGTGCCCAAAATCCCAAGAGAGGAATGGAGAGGGGATGGCTATCCACCCTGGGAGGTGATTTCTTGCTTTTTGTCTCTCTCCCATGAGTACGTGCACTGTATAGCAAAAAAAACTCTAAAAAAAAAGAAAAAAGTCACAGATAGATAAAGAAATGGTTTTTAAAAATAAAAGAAACAACCCTCTGCTCAAAACCCTTTAGCATGTCTCATTTCACTCTAAGGAAAAGCCAAGTTCTCACAGTGACCAAGGCCTTATCATTGCCTCTCTCCTTTCTCCTCTTCTCCTGTCCTTTCCCTTCCCCTCCCCTCTCCTCCCTTCCCTTTCCCTCCCTTCCCCTCTCCTCCCCTCTCCTCCCCTCTCCTCCCCTCTCCTCTCCTCTCCATCTGGATCATGTGCCTCAACGACCTCCCAGCAGTACTTCAAGCACTCCAGGCATGCTTCTACCTCAGGACCTAGGTACTGGCTGTTCCCAGTGTCTGGAACCCTCTTTTCTCAGATATCCACATGGCTTCCTTCCCCATCTCCATACTTTGCTCAAACATCAGTCTCACAGAACTCCCCTGGTCTACAGTCTCAACCCCCTCCCAAGTCCCATCTTCTGTCAAGTATTTTTTCCTCAGCTTTGATAATCTAAAATACTATTTAACAAACATCTCACCTATCTTGCTTATTGTTTCTCCTTCTCCCCTATCCCAGCGGATTTAAGTTCCATCAGGACAGTGTTTTCTGTTTTGGACACTGATGTGTATTACGGGCACAGAGCAGTGCCTGACACAGTAGGAGTGAGACTGCAGAGGTGCTCCAGGCTCTGAGGAGGCCCAGTCTCTTGTATTTGTCCAGTCCCAGGCAAGGGCTCCCACCAGAAGGGCTCCCATGTGCTCTCACACCTGCTGTGTCCCAAATCACAGGCTGTCAGAGCAGAACAAGTGTTCGAAGGACCCAGGCCAGTCTCTTACACTCACCACTCTGCAGCCGGCATACTTATCTGTTTCCCTGAGGGATGGCATGCTTCTGCCTCCCCAACCTCCCCAAGCTCCCCCCAGTTGCTTAAACTGAAATAACCTTCTCTCTTACAGTTGGAGAAACTGAGGCCCCAAGAAAAGAGGGGATTTTGGCAATTCTGGACCAGAGTCAGAATTTGAACCCAAGTTTCTTTCTCCCCAGCCCAGAACTTTTCTTACTTCAGTGGACGGAGCTCATGCAGAGTGAAGGTGTAAGCAGAAAGCTGAGGTCTTACAGGGTGCTCAGGCCCTGCCCCTTCCCTGCCCCCACCCCAAACTCACCTAACAATGCCAAGACACAGAGAACCCATGTACTTCTCACTCACCCCTGTCCACAACAAGGAGGGCAGCCAAGGCCAGGGCAACAGTCCACAGGCGGACAGCCATGCTGGTGCTGGATAGCTGAGGCCTGGGTTAGCTGGGCCTGGCTGGGGGAAGGATGAGAGCTGTTTATAGGGCTGGCCTCCACTCTTATCTTATCTGGGGCCAGATGGAGAGGCTAGAGTGTTACCCAGAGTTCATCCCTGCACCTGGGCATCCGGAAAGGGCTTGCTTTAGACAGCGATGCTGAGCTGGTGGAGATAGCAGAGGCTGTGGGGCTGACAGATTTCTGGAGTGAGGAAAAGTTTGAACAACTTATAAATCTGACTCTGGCTGCAGGTTGGAACAAGAGGGAGAAGGAAATTAACATAGAAAGAGACAAAAAGACTGAGACAGAGAGATGAGAAAGAGAGAGATGGAGAGAGGTTAGGGTCAGGGCTTCCTTTGCCAGTGCCTCTACCAGCCAACGTGGGACCTCAGTAAAGCCTATTTTCTTCACTGGGCTTCAGTTTTCACATGAACTGATAAAGCTGATAGTGTTCACTCTGCTTCCTCCAAGGGCTGCTGTGAGCATGGTGTAGTGGCAGCAGAAGGAAAATGATCTGCAGGGTAAAAATGAAGAGTAAATGTAAATAGAGATGAATCTTTCTACTTATTTATTTATTGTTGGTACCATTAATGGGCACAACTAACTGACAAAACAAAGGCAAAATAAAACATGAAAAGGAAGATGTGAACCAGTTGCAAATTGTTAAGTGCTATGCATAGAATGCTGGATCCACATGGCCAACAGGTTTGAATCCCGACCTTGGTGACTTGATAAACACACTGAGCACATGTCCGTTTGTGTCTTAAACTCCAACAGGATGGAGAGATGGAAGAGGACTGTAGTACGACTACTGTACTTCATTAGGAGTGCGCGCTCTCTCTCTCTTCCCTCTCCCCCACAGTGAGCACAAGTGCCCGCTAGCAAAAAAAAAGGGGGGGGGCAGCAGTTAACATAAAAGTCATATTTTAAAAAGAAAAGAAAGATGTTCTCATGCTTTGCAGGCATTATGTGTTCGTTTGTATTTTAATAAGACAAACAGGTAAGATTTTTTTCAAGAAGAATTTCTGATTTACGAAAAGCATAACAAAACTATATTTACCTATGCTTTCTCAAATTCCTTTAGATCAATGATTTTCAGCTCTGTCTACAGATTAGATTTTCCTGGGGAGAATTTAAAAATACAGTTGTTGGCCCAGCCATGGTGCCACAGTCGGGTAGTTCAACACTCCACAATACTAGAAGCCTTGTGGAAGATGGGACTTCGGTGCCCAGGGTGACCTGTACATGCCAGGAGTGCATGTGCATACCTGTGATCCAGGCTGGCTGGGGAAGGTGGGAAAAGATTTCAGTGTGAAGACCCATAAGGGTACTTGTCTGTATCTCTCAATAAACAAACAAACACAGATGGTACAGTGAGCCTCACTCTGAATTTTGTGGCCGTGAGACTCCCTCTTAGTTTTTTTTTTTTTTTTTTTTTTTTTTTTGCTACATGGTGAGTGTATTTACTGGAGAGAGACAGAGAGAAAGGAAAGTAACAAAGCAACCATAAAGAGGATGACCATGCCACAATCCCTTCTCCTCCACCCTCCTCTCAGAATGTTTTTGGGTGCCTATACATACACCCAATAAGTTGGATTTTTTTTAAGAATTATTTTATTAATATTTATTTTATTTTGACTGGAGAGGGAGAGAAAGTGAGAAAGCAAGCCACGAGGTCTGGCACTCGAACTGCAGTTGGCCATGTGGGAGTCCAGCGCCCTTCATGCCACCTGCCAGCCCCCCAATTGTGTTTGTTTTAAAATAATTATTTATTCAATTTATTTTTTCATTCATTTATTTTTAATTTCACTGGAGCGACACACACACACACACACACACAGAGAAAGAGAGAGAGAAAGAGGGAAAGTGAGAAAGCAAGCCACCAGGTCTGGGACCCAAACCATGGTCGACTATGTGGGAGTGTCCAGCGCCTTAACCACTCCACCTGCTGCCCCCCCCCCCATATATTTTTTAAGACACCAGGCCTAAGACTCAAACTGCACAGTTGGTCATGTGACTTTACCCACCACATCTCTTTTTTTTGCTATAGGGCGTGTGCACTCGCCAGACAGACAGAGACAGACAGACAGAAAGCGGGAAATCAACCCTCATGGGGGGATGGCCATGCTGCAATCCCTTCTCCTCCATTCTCCTCTCAGGATCTTGGGCACACACACACACGCACCCGGCGTGAGTTTTAAGCCACTGGGTCCGGGAAGTGAACCGCGGTCGACTATATGGGAGTCCAGCGACATAGCCATTACGCTAACTGCTGGTCCCTCCACCGCATCTCTTGACTGACCCTCACTCTGAAATATTTAAATCAAGTTCTCACTGTCTTTTTTTCTTTTTTTCGAGCATGCTATAGAGCATGTGCCCTTGATGGAGAGATAGAAACAGAGAGACAGAAAGTGAGAAATCACCTGCCCCCCAGGAGAGATGGCCACACAGTAATCCCTTCTCCTCTCAGGATTTTGGGCATGCACGCATATACGCCTAGTGTGATTGTCAAGTTACTGGATCTAGACTCAGACCACAGTTGGCCACGTGCGAGTCCAGTGCCTTAACCATTACACCACCTACTGGCCCCTGTCACTGTCTTTTTAAAAAAATGTTTACTTTCAAAGATTTTAGATCTACAGATAAATTGTAAGAATGGTTCGATGAGTCAATGGGAAACATTGGTTAAGAACAGACCCTTTGTGGGCAGCCAGCAGCCAGATAGTCACTTCTAGAGACCAATGAAAGTCCAGCCGGAGGCCCCAAATGGTCTCTGACTCATCTTCAAGATCCTCCTGCCCTCCTCAGGACACTCGAACCCACAGATACCTCTGAGGCAGGTGGCTACTATCCTTCCATTACTCAGCCAGGTAGAGTAAATATTTACTGATAATTTCCTGCCCTAAAGTAAGAACATCCTTTCACAAAGGGAGGGGAATTTTAAAGGTCATGTTTCTGCCTCCAATTTTCCACTCAGGCCTTCCTACAGCAGCCCCACAAGGAAGTCATTTCTTGATGGTGAGCTCACTGCCTTTCATTTTCCTTTTTAAAGAATAATTTTATTTAACTTTATTTATTTTAATTTGACCAGAGAGGGACAGAGTGAAAGAGAGAGAGAGAGAAAATGAGAAAGCAAGCTCCCCAGGTCCGGGACTTGAACTGTAGTCAGCCATGTGGGAGTCCAGCACCCTTAACCACCATGCCTCTTGCCAGCCCCCAGTACCTATCATTTCCACTGTTGGGTGACTTTGGACAAAGAAAGTCCTTTCTCACACGAGAGATCTGCTTCCCTGAGACTCCTTGGGGATCCCAGTTGTGTCTCTGGCCTTTCAGACATGCATGAGCCTCAGGTGAGCACCTTGGGGCTGAACAGGTCTAGTCCTTTGCCTGCTTCTCATCCTCTTTGCCCGTGATGAGGCTCCTGGGCCTCTCTTCATCTCTTATTTGATCCCTGTCTGTCAGTGTCCCAGATCAGAGTGAAAAAGGGAATGGGATATAGCATAGGGGTTTGTCCCCTCCCTGGCTTTGGACCTATCTCTATCAGTGTGGCAGGAATGGCTGGTAAGAGTTCTAGCTGCCTCAAAAGAACAGGAGGCTTGAATTCTGCATTCTTCAAAGTATAGAGTAAATCAAGGCAACTTGTGGAGGGCTGAGACCCTGCCATCCCACCCTGCCAAGGTCTCTTTCCTTGGACAAATACCTTCTAGACTCAGTCATAGTAACAAACTTCATAATCCATCATCCCATCAAAGTAGGAGCCTAACTCTTATATTCAACTGCTG